ATACCTCACTGTACTTCAAAATTCTTGCAGGTTACAATTACCCCTTTTATTTTGCATCCAAGAGATTGCAAGTTCTTTGGGCAGCAAATGTCTACTATTCCATGAATAGCTGTGTCGGACATAATTGAGCAAAACCACCTGTTTGCACCTTAGGTACCAAAAGGAGATCCAGACTTAAACTTCAGTAACCTTAAAGCAGAAATCCATGTTTTTAGTTTTTATTTTTATTTCTATTCTATTATTTTGTTTCTATTTTATTTATCCACTCATTTTATTTAGCACTTGAATTTCAGTGAACAAACATAATAAAAAATGTAAAGATTTGAGAAGTTTACACCTCTTGGACTTTCTCGGTATGGCATACAGCACCATTAAGGGAGTATGGGAGCAGCCCCATAGCCTGGCCAAGTAACACACTGCCAGCTGCACCCAGCAGCCTGACTTTCCGTGCAGATTTATGCAGCAGTCCAAAATACTCGTGAACACAGGTACTCAAAAAGCCCCAGCACAGAACACTTAGAAAGCTAATCTACCTTTCAGTGAACGCAACACTCAGAAGTCTGCACTCTGAACAAATATCTCCTGCTGTAACTACTTAAATAGCACTTTTTAGCTGCTACTTCTTTCCTGAAAGCATGGCACCAATTTCTACTTTAACCGCGTGGTGTGCTGCCCCCCGGCCACACACAACAGCTTTAGGTAAACAAGATTCTCTGCGCAATTGCTGTTTCAAAGCTTTACCTTTAGACTTAACGTTAAGTGCTTGACAGCCAACTTTCTTATGAGCATTTGAAGGAACCCATACAAGATAGAAACCCAGAGGCAGACTTGTCCAAGTAACTGAGGGAAAGAACAAACCCAAAGACTATCAGCATTACAGAGCATTGTAATAAATAGATGGCATTCCTATTAAGCGCAATTCACTCTAGAAAAAAGGCTACCAACATATATTTATGAATTATGAGACGCTGGCTCTTTGTAAGACGACGGTTCCCATGTAATTGAAAGGAGTGCAATTTTTACTTCAACTACTCTAATGCACATCAAAATACTTTTCTTTTTTGTGTGGCTGGTATTCGGCAAGTGTGACATATACCATATTTTTTAATGATTCTTTCACAGCTTGCCTCTCAGCCCAAGATACTGAGGACCTACTAGTGTACCAAACCCTTAAAAAAAAGCCTTCTGTGGATAAACTTCTTAAAACACCATTTCTTCAGGAATTAGTGTGAACCTTTTTTAGGTAAGCACTATCCTAATACTTTAAAATGCCACTTGCTGACTAGTCGCCAGCTGAGACTTCTTGGTTTCTATGGGAAAGTACAGACTGTATGGACAAGGTCACCCGAATCTGACAAAGACTGCCACCATCAACAAAACATGAATACTAACAACTCAAAATGGATAGAAAATGAAAGACGGCAGTCACAACAGCAAAGGCACAGCCACTCTTGTAACAGAGACTGGTGTCACGGGAGGAACACAGCCTAGCAAGAAAGGAGCTGGAGACACACAGTGTGAGCATGGATTGTACAGAGTGACAGGAGACAACATGAAACAAGCTGCCAACACTGACCAGTTCGACAGGAGGTTTGATTAGCACAATCAAACAGCACATTCATTGCCTTGCAACTTTCAAAAACTGCCAGGAAGCACTGCAGGTTCCCCTGATCAGTGCACAAAGCTGAAGTCTGAATGAGTACCACATCTGCCCTATAATCTGCTATCTCAATTAGAAACAAAAGGCAAGATCTGGTCCCATGCACCAGAAAGCAAAGGCAAGGATAAAATGAAGTTCAGAAAGCACTCGTGACTCGAAGCTTCATAAAAAAAAGCAAACTGGAAACTCAGTGGCAGATTTCCAAGAAAGCAGGTGGATTTGTACATCTGGCTGCTGACATCTGCAGGATAGCCAGCTTTGAAAACAAGTGTTTCCAGAAGCATTATAACAGAAGCTGTCAAAAGTACTATTCTTCTCTGCTAACAGCCTACTAAATTTTGCCAGTGTTTTTAGCAGGCACTGGTATCAGCTAATCAAGCGTCAGAAACTCCTTCTTTGGAAGAAGCTACACTAGCATTTCTTTCTCTGCACAGGGATACTCTGCTACCAGAAAAAGCACTGAAAAATCAAAATACAAGCCAATTCTGTCAATATATGTCATTAAGTCTTTGCAGTGTTTGATTTTCTAGAATCACTCAAAGACTTCTTTTCAGTATCCTAAATCTTATCTTCTGCACAGCCTCCCCGCCACTCTAAGACTCAGCCTTCCAACCAAGCAACCAGGTGGCACATACGAATACCTGTGCCAATGCCTCAGCTGCACCTTTTGCCTGCTAACAGTGAGACTTTAAATCCCTACAAAAAGGCACCCTGAACTCTGAGCAGAACCACGTAAGCTATTCAAACATGCAGTGAACAGCAGTGCAGTGGAAGGTAGGGACAGGAGGAGGAAAATGAGAAAATGGGAGAAAAGAAAATACTTTCAAATAAAGTTTACTAAGTAAACTCACATCCGAATAGGGCATGAGGGATGGGAGGAAAACAAAAATAAGCAGCATTACATGGCCCTACAATCAATAACAGATCCTTACCAATCCAGAGTAAGGAGAGCTGGTTAGCTAAGGCAAATATAATTCAGCTCCCAGCAATGGAAGAAAAACATAGAGCTAAGAGAATGAACAGTACTCAAGTACTCTGCCTCCAGCAGATGCTCATGCTTTTCCAAATTCTTTCTCGGTTCAGATTTTTCTCTTGGCTTCTATGCAAAGTACTTACTCCTCCAGCAAAGCAGAGTTTTCACAAACTGCGGGGTTAATCTCCAATACACAGGACAGGCTCAGACACTTAATGGCTCTCCAAAAACCATATAAAAAGTCTTCTCCTCTCATTGATCAGCCTTATTACGGCAATCTAACAAAAATGACACTGGAAGGAGTGAGACAGTATCTTTTACTATCTAAGAGGGGTGTAGTCTTGCCAGCTAGCTGCTCAGTATGCCTACACAGGCACCAAGATCACATGGGAAATAGGTGAAGATTTGTAAGAAAATCTGCTGTCAGATCAGTTACAAGATGCCATTAAAAGCAGCCTTCTGCTGCTGCTGTTCTCTTTGGTGAATGCTGCTTTTGCTCAAAGGCTGTCCACGTACACATGGAAAACCTGCAGGCCACTAAGTCCCTTTCAATGTAAAAGTGCGCACCAGACAGCAGGGCCTTCCTGGCTCGAGGACTGGATTTACTCTAGAAGTGAGTATCAGAGAAACATAAGGAACAGAGGAAGACTTTCAGATGGTTTTCTCAATTGCTAGTTGTGTGACATCTTTAGAGAGTGCTCAGATTACAGTAGTATGTAGGTGGGCTAAAAGGTTTTCCTTTTTTAAAGACTACTGCACATAGAGGACTGGAGACAGCTTGATTGCCACATATTCTGTGAAATCAAATTAAAAAATTATCTCCTTCCTCCAATGAGAGTTAAAAGGCATTTCAAAACCAAATTGCTAGCATAAAAGTTTTTATATTGGCAACTAATAAAAACAAAATGACATCAAGAAACCTCACATAATAGTATGTGCTTTTATTTATTTGGAAAATAAACAAACCAAAAAAAGTCTCAAAACTCCTCCAAAACAATGTCAACCTGGTAACGACACAATCCATTTCAGCTTCAAAATTCACTTGAGCCTTTTAGTTGCTCTTCACAAACAGATGTAGTGGCACAATTTCCACAGCAATTCACATCAATCTGAAAGCAACCTCATTCCCAACTTAATGTTCCAAACTTCCACTATGGCTAATAAATCTAGATTTAAATAGCCAAGCCCACCAAATGCCCCCAAACTTGAAAACTGTGCCAAGAGCATTAAATCGATGGTTTTTCCGAGAACAGAATCTCTTCCAGATGCCCAGTGAATCTTTTCCTACCTCACATCTGCTGCCTCTATGCTACAAAGCGGAAACATTCTACTCCATGTCAACAGCGTCTCTGAGCCAGTATCAGAGATTTCACTAAGCCTGGAAATAATAAATAGACAAGCTAAGACAGAAGAAAGAAGAATTGATGGGAGAAGAAGCGGAAGAACAAACTTGGCAAGAAGATAAGGAGAGTTAAAGGGAGAAATAGGAAACTTTATGGGGAAAAAAGTGTACTTCTTGCTTGCAGAAAGAAATGTTGGTGATAATTTTCAGTCAGCTTTTTATCTCCTATGTTGCTATCCCTGGGAATAAAAACGATCATCGCAGAGTCACATTTTTCAAACCTCAGGATTCTCAAAGAAAAATGCATTTCACTGACAGACAGTAGCCACCAAGTTTATGATTTCAATAGAAATTGTTTCAATGGTCTGTGTGGCTCCAGCAAAAAGCTTGATTTTGTTCTTCATCGCAGCTTTACTTCAAATAATAACTTGTTAACCTGGTTCTTTAGTTGAAGTTCTAGTTGATAATGAAACTGGGGTGCTACAAAGGAATGGTCTCACAAAGAAACAACAGGCAATCCTCCTAGTTTGCTACATTACTTACTGATCATTTGAATCTTAATGGAATACGCTTCACCATTAAAAAAAACCCCATGAGTTTTAATTTACAAAATACCATAACAATTACTGAATCTCATTGTAAATACTTGTAAATTTAAATTTATTGCTGTAAACAAAGTTACACCACAATGTCTCGAATGTTATAAAAAACTGTGTCGAGTATTTCTAATCTAAACTTAGTTCGACTGCTTGCAGCAATACACCTACAAGAACTGCTAACAAGAATCTGGCTGTGAAATAAGTTAAAAAGAAGGGAGAGTGGAAGAGAAGTGGAAGGTTATATTTGCCAATATGGTAAGACTTTTGCCTGAAACCAAAACACCATTTTGTTTTGTTGCTGCAAATTTTGGTTTTGGAAGCAAACGGAGAAGAATTGCATGACTTTTCTTCCAAAATACTTTCTGTTCTGATCCCTTGTCTCTCCAATTTATTGTTATGCTAAGGTTATTTATTAACAGATTTACCTGTGTTTCCTTTTCTTCTTTCTGGGAGGAGTATCAACATCTTCAGCAGGGACTGGAGCAATAATACTAGATTCCTTTACTCTAAACTCATACACCTAACAAGAGATACCATAATACATCCACGATAAATCTCTCACTGGTAGAAAGTTGCTCATTTTCTAAGTTAGCATGATTTCCTCCAACCAACAACTTACAGATTATATCCAGTCATAGTCTCTTTTCAATACATTTAAAGTTGATTATTTCTGTCATTTAAGAACAGATAGTCTAATTTAAACCTCCTGTAAATTTAAATTAAAAAGGTTTAAAACTAACTTTTATATATTTGTGGCATGAATTTTGGATCATAGCATTCTTGGGAATCCCAAGACAATTAGTTTTCTCTTTCAGTAATCAATACTAGTATTTCTATACTGTTTTAACAGTAAAATGCTATCATCCTCAGTAAGTAGCTTCCCTTCTTACCTGCCTGCATGTTTTGGTCCCAATCAGCCTGGCAATTGCACAGAAGTTGTCATAGTAGGTGCCAATAAGAACTCTAAACATTGAGGCTTCTGCACCACTCCATTCCACGTTCTCTGGAGGCTCAATATTTGGCTTCATCTTTATTGGCGTTTGACACCTAGAATTTGCTTCTGTAATAAATATTTGAGAGTATAGGTTAATGTAAGGCTACCTTTCAAAACTTTTACACAGCCCTTAAAAATGTCACATAATTAACTGTAGTTAAAAATATCCCAGGTTTCTGTTGTTGTGGTTTCCTAATCTAAATGCCACAACAAAGCAGCACTTTTCACATATCTCTTAAAGAAGTTCAAAATTAGGTAACAGTAGCTAGTGAAATTACATGATCACACCTCCGTACATAAATCAAGACAATGTGGAAATTTTCTTACAGGGTTCTATTTGATTAAACTCATATTATTATTATTCTGTCTTTTTACTCAGTTCCATACATTCCAAATACATGGTTCCTAGGATTATGTGGCTCAGCCTTTTTTTTAATCCTCTCAAGCACTGCAGCTAATCGAATAAAGAAGCATTGACTAGCCTTACCAGAGGAACTGGATGTTTCATCTTTCTTCTCCTCCTCTTCTTTATCATTGTTTTCTCCTCCAGTTTCAGTTCCAGCTTCTCTATCACTATCTGTGTCTTTTGATTCCAACACATTTATTGTAGGCGTGCTGGGCCTGCTGGTGTTGTTTGGAAGCCTTCCCCTTCGGCGGCCACCTGGGCGCTTTGGTGGTGTCTTTATACGCTCAGCGGTCAAGGCAGCTGCAAACTCCTTTGCCCCTTCCTTAACACAAAACATCGCAATTTTCAGCAAAAGAATTAAAAAGTGTTTTCACCTATTGTCAGGGCTCAGGGCTGAACACATTCTATTTGCATGCTGTATAACTTTGCATTATTCTAATCAAGTACACACAAAATTCCCGTTAACTACAAACTTTTGATGCTATCATGAAAAAAACAATTTCTCTACATTTATGAAGTACTTTTGCCAGTATTTCAGTTCCACTTTCGTTTTGGCTGCCAAGTGGAAAATAATTCAGTAGTAAATTTCTGTTTACCTAGATGACAGAAAAAATGAGAGTTTCCCACAGAGAATACAAGAACTCTTCTTGCACATGGCACTTAAACAATATGCGTTCTCCATTTTTTAAAATGCAATCACTTGTAATTTGGTTTCTAGTGGAAAGGGGTATGATGATGCACAGCATTGGGAAAAAAAAATTTCCAATTTTTTAGATTGGAAAAATCACATGGTTTCTCATACTAAAAAATTTAGGAGAATCGTGAGAGGTATTTGAAGTTATATTACTAAGGATTTCACCTTATTAATTTCATAGAACCATATAATGCTTTAGGTTAGAAGGGGCCTTTAGAAGCCATCTAGCCCAACCCGCCTGCAGTGAGCAGGGAGATCCTCAACTACACCAGGCTGCTCAGAGCCCCATCCAACCTGGCCTTGAATGTTTCCAGGGATGGGGCCTCCACTAATTTCCATCCTGCTGTTTCCTACAAGCACAAATACTGGATGGAATCCGCCTTTGGCAAACCAAAAAACCTTTATAATTTTTAGTTGTGATATAACTTACGAGAGCACTAAGTCTGTAAGACCCAGTTCTTTGACGAGATTGGACACAATAGCAGCAACACAGTGTTAGGAAATAATAGACTTTGTTCCCTACAAATATCTTAGGTTACATCTAATAGAGAGAAAAATTATTCCTACTTAGATTTTCATTTGATGGTTGGCAGTTAACTCTTTTCTTTCGCACAAACTGAAGATAACACACTTGACTGCAAGTGGCCCACAAGTATACGCACTGTCACAGATCCAGCACGCCCTTACACTAAGTGCAGCCTGCCATACTGCAGCTAGCACTACCACTTAGTGAATTCTAACATATGAAATTATCTTACCAGATGTTGATAACAGTGCGGTCCACAAGGCTTATTATCTAATGCTGTTTCTGTATTCTTTCGTTTGTAAGTATTAGGAGTTGCGTGGAATGCTGTTGAATCAAAACAACACATTTGTAAGTTTTAATATAAGAAATACATAAAATATCTAACCTCAAACAGTACCCAAAACACAAGGTTTACCAAGACTTTACTAAAGCCAGAATATAAATGATAGCAAATGGAAAAAAAAAACATAAAATAAATCCCATCTATTGACATTTGGCTTACCGCTTAAATACAAGAGACAGAACATGGGTAAGTTTTGTATATGCTCATTTACATCAGTGAAAACAATGATCGCATCTGTGTCATATATCAAGGAAGACTTGCTATATCTCCCTTCCCAACAAACAGAAGATACTTTACTTCTGTTACCACGTTAAATAGAATTATTCAGGGCTTCTCCTATTAATGCATGATCATCTCTCGATCCGTAAGATTCAGGTGTTCAATTTCTATCTTGTCAAAAAATCCAACCCCACACACTTTGGAAAGGTAACGGACCCACTTTTTGGTTTTGTTAGTGAGAAGGACACATAAGTACTTTTACTCTATTAGTTTACCAGCATCCCAATTAAGCTGACAGGTAATAAGAGTTCAGTGCCTGTATCCCAGCTGGAGGGTAAAGATAAATTAAATAAAAATAAATAAAATTAGCATCCCACAGTCACTATGGAGCAGAACAACCACAGTTAAGTCTGCAACTTGCAGAGAAGCATATGCTCGTGTATTTGACGGATTCTGTATAGCTCTAGATAAGCTGCAGAACAGTGATGTTACAGATGCAACTTGAGCACCTTTCTAGCAGGATGGCAGAGTTTCCTACCCCATAGCTCATCCCTACCAGCCCTCCCTGCCATGAGATCCCTGCCTCCCAGCACGATGTTCTTAGAAACCGACTTTCCTGGTTTTGCTGGAAGTCTTGGGAACCCTTCTGTATCCCTTACTTAACTGAAGCCTGGAAAACCTGCAGCTAGACTCTCACCAGAACTCACATACTCATGTTCCCAAGTTATACTAGGAGCTTTCTGAAATACCATCCTTAGTTTTCTGCAATTCTCCTTTTTTAAAAAAATTCCTCCATGCTCAAGGAATGAATTTTTTGGTTTTAACATACATATAGATAGACATCAGTAAATACTTTTTCCCCCTAAATGTGCTAACGGTGGCATACACAACTGCAAGGAACAAAAACAGAGAATGCACCAAAGTTTAAAAACAAACCAACCCTACTCAGTATTAGCTGTGTGTTTCCTAACGCTCCTTGGAGGTCTGCAAGAGATGTTTGTCTGAAAATGCATGAGTCCCAAGCACTGTAAAAGCACTTGGGCTGCAGTTCCACCACAGTTGCAGTTAGGCAACTGTAACTTAAAAGTTAAATTTTTCAACACTCGGTGAATAAAAATCACTAATGTTCAAACTGAAAGAAATCCCTCCCCTCTTACCCACATTAATCCATCAGGGCTGTTCTCTACCAGCAGCACACACATCCTTCTTCAATAAGCCACCACCCCAGGCTTTCCTACTCATCTTATTTCTAGATTGTGCACAAGGCTTATCTTTATAATCGTCCACTTTGCTTTCAATGCTGAACTTTTTAAATGCAGTTCCTTCCCTTTTAAAGAATGTGGGCAGAGCTCACATATGCCTTCACAGACAAAGTTTTTAAAAGCAAATCTCAGTGACCTGGTTTGCAGCATAGCTCCACAAGCACTTGTTTTGGCACCAGTGGGGAGGGTGACCAGTGGCGGTGAGCACTACTTAGAGAGCTTCTCTGATGAAACCACTCCATCCTGGAACCATCACTTCAAGCTCCCCTCCCATAAGGGAAGGTGTGCTGGAAATCAAATTATAAATTCTATAATATCATGCCTGTATTAATGACAGCAGCACATGGGAACCTCAGGGAAGCAATGTATTCTTCCACGGCTTTCTTAAAAAGGTAGAAACAATACAAAAGTATCATGAACTAAATAGTCTATCACTTTCTCCAGAGCAATACATCACATTTCATAAATCTGGAAACACAGAAAAGCTTCAATTTTCCACATATGGACATATAAATATGTAAAAATTATTTATAAGCAAGTATAGGCATGGCATGTAATTTATGCATATTGTTGCTATTAGCACTCTTTCTTCCCCTACATTCCAGTTAAAAGCTTTTACGTGATATATCGCTTCTCATACGTTTCGCATATCCTTGAAGCATTCATACATTCTGGCGGTACAATATGTTAAATAACAAAGCAACCTTGCAATTTGATGCCAAGTTATTCTACTTCTTTCCAGCTTTAAAGAAACAATAAGATGATGGGAGCCCCCCACCCAAATTGGAGGGGGAAAATGCCACATTTTTCAACACTGCATCTTTAAATTTGCACAGTATACCATTTCATTCATTCAGGTTGTTTTTTCCTCCCCCACATAACTTTTATCCTCTTTCCATTCTATACAGAAAATAATTTTGCAACAAAACAAAAGAATAGCAAAACATTTGCAAGCTGTGATCCATATCAGACTGCTGCAGTGTCCAGAAATCCAAACTCTTATTTTACATGTCATTTGCAGATGCAAACATTTCTCTCGCAAGTTCATTTGTGAAAGGTTCTAAAATGAGTGTTTATTTTTCTAAAAAGTGTTTTCCTTCAGACAATGAAGAAATGTTTAGTTTGTAATGCAGTGAAACAAATCAACGTTTAACTTTTTAAACCAGCGAGACCTCAAAAATACGCTATATCGGATACTTAACATTAGAATCATATCTTGTAGGCCACTATTTGAAAAACACCCAACACAGTACAGTACTGACAACTACAGTCAGAATCTACCACCACTGTTGCGAGGTATTTTTTGGGGAGGCTTGTTACAAAGAAAGGACCCAGGACAAGAATAAAATTGTTCGTATGGCTGTATTATGAATCTTGCAAATATCAGTAGTATTTTTTTTTTCCAGAAACCAAAGACGACTTTGCAGAATTTCCTAAATAACTGAACTCTGTATTTCTTCAATAATTTCCTTAGAGTCATTCTAAGACTGCTTCACTAAGCATGCTTTCTGTCTTTGAGATTTATTACCTGTCTCATCCCCAATGGGCTCAATCCTCCTATTTTTCATAACGTGAAAGTACACAGGCAACAGTTTAGCCTGAAATGTACATTTGCTTCACAGTCAAGCTATTTGGGAAATTCTCCCTACCTGATATTTTTTCTTCTTCTAAATTCTTTCTTAGTCCAGACATTTAGGCATAATTCCTTGCTGTCAGCAAATGAAGCCGGTACACAAGTTTTTTCAGTTATGTCATCACCTGCACATAAAGGGATTGCCAGGTCGTCAAGGGGACTTGACACGTTAAGAATCTAATGAGAACTTTTCCAATATTTAACTCAAGCGTTCTAGAGCAAAGATTTGAAACTCCGTAAGATAAGGCTAATCTTAACAAAAATGGAATCTAAGAGGTGGGGAAAATTCAAAACCAGATCTAACAGAACTCCTGTATTTTTTCAATCCTCTATGCCTTCTCCAGAGATTTGTGCCTTTCAAAGTACAAATCTGATCACTGTAGCCCACCATGTTACCAAAGTAATTCATCAAAAATGTCATCTGCAGAAGCCAGGCTATCATCCTGTAGTGCTTGGCAATTGCATGAAGTAGAACGTAGGGGCAACTAATTAGGGTGCTAGTAGAAATGTTACCACTTTTTTAAAAAAGTTAAAGTGTTAAATTGTTCCACAGACACTGAAAATTGCTAGTCCAGCCTTCCCATAACCAGAGGAGTCTTTTTTTGATGAGTTACTTCTTCCCAGCAATGAATCTGGTGGATTTTGACCACCAACCTTAAAATTTCACAGAAAGCGAAGAGGTCGTACAACTGACTCTCGGTTTTTACAGATAAATTCCTTGCTCTAGACAGAGACACAGACAGACAAGACACACGGGCAGAAAACAATCCTCTTTCTGTGGTGTTACTACAGACAAAAGCAGAAGGAAGCAATGCATCCAAAGCAGTGACTAGTCATTGTAGAGGTGGGATTTGGATACGTCTTCCGGGAATGGTGACTGGAGCGTCAGTTTACTACACTCAGCATCCAGTCTGGAGGCTACATAGTGAACGTGTAAATCAAGCCTCAAGAGATCTCTTTGCAATGATCAAGTATCAAATGTCTTTTTATCAGTGACAATGCATGTGCTGCATAAGCTGTCATGAAGAGCATTTTCATAACAAGTAATTTCACACTCCATCTTGACACAAAGGTACACCTTGAATGCCTCCACAGTGGAAGCGTTATTCTTCCTGCTTTCTGCTATGGCCCTGAAAACCTGAAGAGATGACTTAAAGTTTGGGCCTTTAAGTACGAGGCATGATTTAAAACGAAGCCTTGGATATACACCACTTCAGAAAGAATACTGACTTGTTTAAGGGACTTATCAAAAATCACCAGCAACAAGAACTCTGGCAATCTTTCAGCATAAACACTTCGTCTTCCATCTAAAGGTTATGAACAGAGAAAAGGGGGCACAATGCTTTCACCTTAAAGGATGCTGCTAGCGTGAGAACTGAGGTCCTTCAGCTCATCAGTGACATAACTCTGGACTTTGTCATTGGCTGAATCTGGCACTTAAGAACACATCAAAATGAACACTATGAACCCATCCTTCACAGCACTAAAAGAAAAGAAGTCTCACAGAGCTGGTGCCTCAAAACTGTGGACTGGTAATTACAGAGTCCCCAGAGTAACAGGTACCAAAGTGCGGTTTGTGGATCCTTTCAGTTTATTTCTAACAATCTGCAAAAATGACAATGAAAGGCAAATCTATAGAAACTATGTTAGCAATCAAATATATGCATATTTTACAGAAGCCCATATCTTCACTGGAAAATCCTACAAGTTTATAAAATTAGTGTGAAAAATGGCCTAAAACCACTGCTGCAGAAGTACCTAAAATCTTCTAGGTGCTACCAGAAAAAGTTTGTTCTCACTACGTCTGGACAATGCTTTCTTGTTGACTTCAGAACCAAAATCCTTTTGAAGAAGTAAATTAGACTAGCACTCAATCTCCCTGCTAGACTATTGAGAGTGTCAACAACTCGTAAAATCACTGCCAGATGAACAGATTTGCCAAGAGGTAGCATGCAGCTTCACTTCCCTGTCCTACAGACTAAGGCTGCACACAGCACTTCTTGGAATGAGTCATCCAGGCAACTAAGATACTTCTCAAGAAAACCTACAGCTTCACAGAACACGCCATGTTGAAGCTGGCTGGACAAGGCAGCAGCTATACCTCCAGAAACTTACTGTTCTTAAACGTTATTCATAAGTAAGAGCTGCTCTCTTTGTCAAGCAAGGCCTGCCAACAGAATGCAAGGAGAAAGTGAAACTAACAGACATAACTCCAAAAGCCACAAACACTAAAGAAACTAGGAACAGGAAAAGTTCCCCCCCCCGCCATCTGCGAACAACTCCAATTCTTCCTCAAACTGAAAGGCACCTAACGGATACTAAAAAGCAGCAGCACTGTGTAAAGCCTTCAGCGTGAAGTACAAATACAGGCAGATTGCATGTGTGCTGGATGAGGAGCGGCTGACAAAGCACAAAGATTTCCAAATGAACATGCACACACACTCACAGTGGAACATGCAAATGAACGGTTAAGTCAAAAGAGAAAATTAATTTGAAATAGAGGGCATCACAGTATGCAACTACAAGTCAAAACCACTTCATTTTTGACTGTTAGGTTTTCCTTTACATTTGACCCTGTTCCCGGAGAAAGCATTGTCTCAAGTAGCATTTCAGAATGCTCTCTTCTTCACACTTTTTGCAAATGGAAACTATTATCATTGCTAACGCTGCTGTTAAATCCTTCCCCCAAAACAATGGGGCAACATGAAAGCAATTCAGTGGAAAGGATATCACAATTTCTAAAACTCCACTGTCTGAAACCATTCTTCTTCAAACCACCAGGTACAAGTTAAGTGGCTAGAAAGTAACCTTAGAGAATAAGAGATCAAATGGTTCATGGATATTCATTCTCCCTGCTGGCAAATAAAGTCTGATGAATAACCAGGTATTTTTAATGGAAAAATATATTCCATTCTCCATGCACAAACTGAGAAAGTGTAACACAGAAACAGCAGTGCAAAACAACGTAGTTTTCTTGAAGACTATAGAAACAGAAGTAACGTTATTCGTTGGTCCAAGTCAGGAATTCTATACGAACTCCTAAAAGCTAAAAGGATAACAAAGTACCTCAAACAGGTGCATTCAGTTTTTTGAGGTTTGTTTTCACTGCAAAATCACATCAACACAGACAAGTTGTTTTTGTAAACTTTAGTGATATTACTGCTTTTATTTTTAATTCTCTTCCCTTCCTTCTGTATTGCATCTTATGGTACTTGTAAGATTCCTGACTTGCAAAAAAATAAGAGATATACACACACACCGTAATTGTACTTACGATGCAAGAAGCAATCATATTTAAAACAGCGTCTACAGAAGAGTGTGTGAAAAGAGTGCAGGCTTTGCTCCCTCTGAACAGATTTAGCATTTGGTCCATCTATGTTTGGTGTGCATTCAGGAGGAAGAGCTCCGGGAAGCTGCTGCTCAGTGAGTTCTTTGTATCTTGAAAGAAAGGAATAGAAGTTATTTATTCAGTATAATTAAAAAAAAAGTATTTTTTTATTCCAGTACCACTCTGCACTTTCAGTAACAAATTAAAAAAAAATAATGTAAAAAATACGTGCCAGCTAGAAAGGTCAATCTGTCAGCGACGTGACAAGTTATTAATTCCGTACTCATTAATACAAATACAAAATCAGATAGGAAAATTGGCTACATTTATATAAGTGTATATTGGCTACAAATATAAAATTGATTTTCTGGACTGTCATGTCATCATATATATTACTCACTAACTCCAAAAAGGAGACTTTTTTTATTTAACTAAAGGTTTTACTTTACCACCTCAAAAAAATAACAGGTTAAACTCACACAAGCACTCACTTTTCAATAGTTTGAAAGGAAGGCTAATAAACCCCTCTGCATTGTTTGACTCGGTGGGAACAGCCAATTCCCTTCAAGTATCACTTGCAGAAGGCACACAGCTGCCACAGAACCTAGCTGCAATGGGCACCATTCCTAACCAACAAATATTTAACGAGGTCAAGGAATCTTTGTTTCATAAAGCACCACAGCAATATATGCTAAGAAATGCTTTCTTACTTCTCTTTCAATTCTTCTGCTGTACCCTTGTCTGGAAACATTGAGGAAATGGCTTCAAATATCTTGTCAGAAGGAAATCTCCGAGGCGGGTGACTTGCTTTCTCTGCCAAAGAAGCAAAAAATTTGGAAAACAAAAACATTATATTTCTGCTCCTTTGCTACTTCAAGAAGGTGTTCAGAGAAAGGGGGACTTTGCCAAAATCCTAATAAAAAAAAAGAAGCAAAGGTTTTTATTTCTACATTACAGACAATGTAAACAGCACTAAGTGATC